TTGTACATCATGTGGATATTCTTCGAAACTCATAGAACAAGTTAACCTGGTAGTCACTCTGAAAATCAATGAGCATTTTGAGATGAGGAAAAATCAGCCGTAGGCATGGAACACGTTCTTATTCTAAATAATATGCTGAGATGTTTCAGTCAGTTATTCCAAATACCTACCCAATAGGAATGATATATTCTTCAGAATATGTGTACCTACTGCATGTTCACAAAATTTTTAAGCCTGCCATACTTATATTTTTACATATACTCCAGATTTTTGGCTAATTCAATATCTTTGGATGAAACTGAAATACGCAAGTCCTATTTCATCTAATAACTGTATAAAAAAAAGTTGGGCATCAAAAACTGAAAAACAACTTATTTTAACAGGAACACTTCTTTGATTTCCGCGCCTTCATGTTATAGGTAAAACAAAATGAGATACTCTTTCCCCAATACTAATCAACTTGTATCATTAACTTAGGATACAAACGCATGAAAAGGGCACAAAGAAGATACCGACTTAAGTCGCTTAAGGCATTTTCTAATTTGAATAGATTGTAGGTATTAATGGGTCCATCTTACAAATACTTCATTCTATCTAGTTCAAGAGAAAGAGTCAAGACATGAAACTTACGTATTTGTATTTTCGTAAACTAGGCTTCATTAGACTTTATTAAATGAATAATAGACACCCCCTTGTTATACACATGCTTCTTTAACAAATAAACATTTGATTTGAAATATTATTTTTTTCTTTCCGTGTGTTAACTTCTTTCCTTTCGCTCCACAGGAGTGAAAATCGCATTCGATTTCAAATTCGGTACAAGAAAAAAGGCAGAAAGAAAACAAAACGACAAAAATGCGAAAAATGCTATAACACATGTAAATGTAACAGTAAATCAGTGCAACTAAAACTTGACCTTATTTTCATCGGTTTTCAGAAAATTTCATTTTATGCGTAGGTATCAGAAAAGTGACTTATTGCATCGCATGATAGTAGTGTGAAGGAAATCAGTTAGCCATTTAGAAAAGTTTTTAAAACATTACTTGGAATACAAAACTACCACTTGATCTCGAAGCATTTTCTGTGCTTGGTTTGGAACAATTTCGTCGAGCACGTCAACTTCTCTTGCGTTTCTTATGATGACATCAGGTTTCCAAATTTCATCAAACCAGTTCTTGTCGAGCAAACGAACATCTCGAGCACTGTTACTCGGAAACCTCAATCTTGTGTCGTACCAAGCTATGGTAAGCCAGAAGTCCAATATGAATGTCTGTAATTTTTTTTTTATTGGCGTAGATGATGAAAATTTGAGATTATATTGAGAGAAAAATATTAATAACAATTGTGAACTTGATTACCATGTCAGACTCATTGATGGAGTCTAAGGACAACAAGGTAAGATGAAACACAGCATTGGCCGGACGGTTGCAAAATGTCGGAGGACGTCTCCTCAAATACGTCGATGTATTCTGAGGCAGAATCTGTCCCAGTTGTAGAGATAGGTCTTGATTTTCGAGAGCTTTTTGAGTCGCATTCAACGTTACTTTTGTGAAATTAGCGTTTAAGGAGTATAAAGACAAATATTGTGGACTACGCAAATAGTTTTCAACTTCGGTTTCATTGGTGCAATCAGGTAGTCGGGTAAAA